AGCTAAGATGAAATAAGCTAAGCTAAGATGAGATAAGCAACGCTAAGCTAAGGGAACGTCACTGGGGGAACCGCGGAGCGGATGCTGGGGGAACCGCCCGGGGCGGGTTACACTGCCCAGCCCTTTAAGCACACCGAGTAAGAACCCTTCTAGGCAGAGCCCTGGTAGGGAATAACACAAAACAAACGTTTCGCTCGAGACATCCCCAACACATTCTGAAAAACAAGCATTTCGCTCGAGACATCCTCAAATGTTAATTCGCCGGCCCACCTCGACATCGATATCTATCGCAAAAGAAATTCGCCGGCCCACCTCAAATCAAACCCGGGTGGAAACAAACTAAAAGAGAACCCTGGATCTAAGCCCGTTCCGGGAAACATGATGGACCCACGAACCCGGAAAGGGATATAGACATGGACATGTGCGGCATGGTCACGTTTTCACGATACCCAACTGGGCGACACCTCACGAAACATCCCACGAGACACCCCGCGAAACATCCCACAAGACACCTCACGAAACACTCCACGAGACACCTCACGAAACATTCCACGAGACACCCCGTGAAACATTCCACGAGACACCCCACGAACAGGCAACCACTCAACCACACACCCCACGAAACATTCCACGGGCGTGCGACTGGGTGTGGTCGTGCTGGGGTTTGGTCGTGCTGGGGTGTGGTCGTGCTGGGGAGTGGTCGTGCTGGGGTGGGGTCGTGCTGGGGTGTGGTCGTGCTGGGGCGTGGTCGTGCTGGGGTGGGGTCGTGCTGAGGTGGGGTCGTGCTGGGGCGTGGTCGTGCTGGGGCGTGGTCGTGCTGGGGCGTGGTCGTGCTGGGGAATGGTCGTGCTGTGGTGAGGTCGTGCTGGGGTGTGGTCGTGCTGGGGTGTGGTCTTGCTGGGTTGGGGTCGTGCTGGGATGGGGTCGTGCTAGGGTGTGGTCGTGCTGGGGTGTGGTCGTGCTGGGTGTGTGGGTCGTGCTGGGGTGTGGTCGTGCTGGGTGTGGTCGTGCTGGAGCGTGGTCGTGCTGGGGCGTGGGTCGTGCTGGGGTGTGGTCGTGCTGGGGTGTGGTCTGGGGTGTGGTCGTGGGGTGTGGTCGTGCTGGGGCGTGGTCGTGCTGGGGTGGGGTCGTGCTGAGGTGGGGTCGTGCTGGGGTGTGGTCGTGCTGGGGTGGTCCGCACCCTGTGAATTATCGATCGGGTCGTTCTGGGGTTGGTCGTGCTGGGGTGTGGTCGTGCTGGGGTGTGGTCGTGCTGGGGTGTGGTCGTGCTGGGGTGTGGTCGTGCTGGGGTGTGGTCGTGCTGGGGCGTGGTCGTGCTGGGGCGTGGTCGTGCTGGGGTGTTCGTGCTAGGGTGTGGTCGTGCTGAGGTGGCCCGCACCCTGTGATTTATCGATCGGGATTTCAAAAACAAGCATTTCGCTTGAGACATCCTCAAATGTTAATCCGCCGGCGCACCTCGACCTCGATATTTATCAAGGAAACAATCCGCCGGCGCACCTCAGTTGAGGCAACGGGGACAGGTTTACCAAACTAAAAGAGAACCCTGGGCCTACGCACTTTCCGGGAAAAAGACTGAAGATGACACGTGTGACGGCTGACCTCATCCTGCCTCGCCGTATCGTCATCGTCATCGTCATCGTCATCGTCATCGTCATCGTCATGGTCATGGTCATCATCATCATCATCATCATCATCATCATCATCATCATCATCATCATCATCATCATCATCATCATCGTCATCATCATCATCATCATCATCATCATCATCATCATCATCAGCATCATCATCATCATCAGCAGCAGCAGCAGCATCAGCATCATCACCAGCAGCAGCAGCAGAAACAGCAGCGACATCCGAATCAGCATCAGCATCAGCATCATCATACTCATCACCATTAGCACCATCACCATCACCATCGCTATCAACAACAACATCATCATGATCATCGTCGTCATCATCATGATCCTCCTCCTCCTCATCATCATCAGCATCAGCATCGTCAGCATCATCACCAACATCATCATAGTCATCACCATCATCAGCATCATAATCATCATCATGATCGTCACCATCATCATGATCATTATCCTCAGTATGCTCCTCCTCCCCCTTCATCATCATCGTTACCAACATCACCATCAGCAGCATCATCACCATAATCCTCAGCGCCACCACCACCATCAACATCATCATCATAATCACCCTCATCATCATCATCATCATCATCATCATCATCATCATCATCATCATCATCATCATGACATTCACAACCACCATCATGACCACCATCAGAATCTTATCAATCCCACTCAGCAGCCAGTCCTGATCCTAAGATCACCCACATCATCATGATCATGAGTATCATGGTTCATCCTCGTTTCCTCCTCCTCCTCGTCCTCCCCCTGTTCATAAGCATCCTCATCCTCATCCACATCCTCCTCCTCATCCTCACCATCATCACCACCACCACCACCACCACCATCATCATCATCATCATCAGCATCATCATCACCATAAGCATCGTCATCATCATCGTAATCGTCATCATCATCATCATCACCACCACCACCATCATCATCATCATCGTCATCATCATAACCATCATCATCGTTCTCGTATCCATCTTCATGATAATTAGCCTCCTCTCATCATCGCCACCGCCATCTTCCCATCATGATGATCATCGTCATGATACCCCTCGACGATGTTATTTCATCATATCCTTCGTCATTCTCATCAGAAGGCCAATGTGGGCCCTCTTCGGGGGGGGGCTTGAAGGCACCTCAGAGGCCTCTCAAGGGCGTCTTCGAGGCAGTTTGGGGGCCTCTTGAGACCTCCCAGGGGCCTCCTGGAGGCCTCTTGGGAGCCTCCTGGGAGCCTCTTGGGGGCCTCTTGGGGCCTCCTGGGTGCCTGTTGGGGCCTCCTGGGGACCTCTTGGAGCCTCCTGGGAGCCGATTGGAATTTGAATACGGTTTTGCACCTCTGGGACCCCTTGGAGGCTCGTCCTGGGGCTCTCTTGGGCTGTCTTAGGGGCCTCTCGGGCCGTCTTGGGCTATCTCTTGGGGTCGTCTTGGAGCCCTCTTCGGAGCCTGTGGGGCAGTCTTGGGGGCCGCTTGGGCCGTCTTGGACGCTGTGAAAGCCAAAGAGGTATATATGTGAAAACTAGACGACTCCCTGAGGGAATGGAGCGAATTTCGCCTCTTGGGGCCCTCCTGGGGGGCCTCTGGGAGCGTCACAGGAGGCGTCTGGGAGGCCTCTTGGGGTGTCTTGGGGGCCATCTTGTGCGTCTCGGAGCGGCCTGTGCGTCTTGGAGCGGCCTGTGGGTGTCGCGGGTCCCTCTTGGCGCGTCTTCGGTCTCTCTTGGCGCTTCCAGGTGGCGTTTTGTGGGCCTCTGGGGCCCCCCAAGGGCCTGCACACACACACACACACACACACATACACACACAAACCTTTGTGGTAGAGGTTGCGGCCCTGGGGGCCCGGGCCCCGGTCCCCTGTTATATGTATATGTTAGACATCCGCCTGAGCGACCTGGGCACGTGAAAACAAGCGTTTCGCTCGAGACTTTCCTCAACACATCCTCATGCTAGACATCCGCTTGGGCAACCTGGACACGTGCAAACAAGCGTCTCGATCAAGATTTCCTCAACACATCCTCATTCGAGACATCCGCCTGGGCAACCTGGACGCGTGAAAATAAGCGTCTCGCTCGAGATATCCTCAACAAATCCTCACGCTAGACGTCTGCCTGGGCAACCTGGACGCGTGAAACCAAGCGTCTCGCTCGAGACATCCTCAAGACCTGGGCGCGTGAAAACAAGCATGTTACTTGAGAGATCCTCTGAATTCAGGTCCCCAGGAGAGGACAATCTAGAACACAAAACAAGCGTTTCGCTCGAGACATCCTCAACAAGTTCTGCAACACAAGCGTTTCGCTCGGGACATCCTCAAATGTTAATTCGCCCGCCCTCTTCGACCTCGATATATTGAATTCACCGGCCCTCTTCGAACTTGGCACTGGGGACAGGTTTACCAACTAAAAGAGAACCCTGGGCATAAGCCCAGGCCAGGAAAAACCAGCGTTTCGCTCGGGACATTCTCAACAGTTCATTCGCTGGCCCTCTTCGACCTCGTTATTTATCCGGGAAAGAATCCGCCGGCCCCCTTCGACCTTGGCACCGGGGACAAATTGCCACACCATACAAGAAAACCCTGGGTTCTCCAGCTCTTTCCAGGAAAAACTCCTAGCACATCGAGCCCCCCCCCTTCCTCCTCCGCCACCTGGCTCGGCAGGGGGACTCGGAAGCCGGGCAAGGGCTGCTAAACCCATGGCTGCTATAATCGACCTCCGGGAAGTTGTCTACGTCCTTCCGGGAAGAAGCCCGTTGACTGCTTCGGAAAGAGGCCCCCACAAGAGGCCCCAAGAGGCCCCTGTGGGGCCCGTTGTTCGTTCTGGGAAGGGCGTGCCGCGCCTCGTTCCAGGAAATTGTTTCCTCCTTCCGGGAGGGCCGTTTGAGCAGCCACGGTCTTAGCAGCCCTCGCCCAGCTCCCGAGGGACGAGGAGGCAACAACCCCCACCCTTTGGACGCCCGAAATGGATACGGAAAGAATGGGTACAATGCCCATCAACAATTGTTGTCCCAAACCAACAGCGGCCGCTGTTGGGCAGGCGGCCTCCCGTCTCAAATGTACACAGGCCGCGGCGACACCGACAGCGAGTCCTGTTCAAAATGAACTGGAACCGCTGTTGGGCATTGTACCCATTCTTTCCGTACCCATTTCGGGCGTCCAAACCCCCCGGCGGCGGCCAGCAGTGAAGGGGCCCTGGGACACACAAATAAATATACACAAATAACAGGATTCTCCATATTTTCTAATATTTTCTGGCTTTCTGTCTTCCCCCCCACTTCCCATATTTTTCCATATTCTCCTGGGAGTCGACGATTCATTGTGTCTGTGTGTTTTGTTCCCCTCCTGAAGCAGGTCCCGCGGGCGGCCTCGGGCGCGGCGCCCCCGGACAGCAGCAGGCCCTCGCAGAACCGCCGGAACTCCCTCGCCGGCGCGCCGCCGCGCCGCCGCCGCGGGCGCCGCGGGCCGCCAGGAGCGCCGAGAGGGAAGGAAAAAACACAGACTGTGGGAAAAAAGCACACAAAACACACACACACACACACACACACGTCTGTGGGAAAAACACACACGCACAAAAACACACACACACACACAAACACACACACACACACAAACGCACACACGCACACACGCACACACGCACACACGCACACACGCACACACGCACACACACACACACACACACACGTCTGTGGGAAAACACACACACACACACACAAAAAAAATCAGAACAACAAATAACATACAAAAAGCACACAGGTGGGAAACAAAAACGCATACTGTGTGTGTTTTTCCAGGAGCGCCGAGAGGGAGGAGGGGGCGATGGGCCAGCGCGGGGGTTCCCCGAGGATCTTCGGGGCACCGGCCCAGGAGGGAGAGAGAGGGCCGCAAACGAGCACGAAGGATGCCTGTCCACACCGGCGTGCCCTCTGGATCCGGTGGCTCCTCCTCCTGCTCCTCCTGCTCCTCCTCCTCCTCCTCCTCCTCCTCCTCCTCCTCCTCCTCCCTCCTCCTCCTCCTCCTCCTCCTCCTCCTCCTCCTCCTCCTCCTCCTCCTCGAGGGATGTACGCATGTGCCTTCCGGTTCCGCGTGGCCCATCCCCACCCAGGAGGGTGGACTGGTGGGGCTGAGATACCATGGCCCAGCGGTGGCTGGGAAAAGCCTCAACGATGTTGAACATATACATCCTGGCCATCGCTCGGACGTCCATTTCCTGTGATTTTGTTGGTTTCGTGCGTGGATTTCTCGCCAACTGATCAAGGATGCTATTCGATGATCCTCGCCGAAGAAAAAATGCACACGGCCGAGCGATGCCAGGACCTAGGAGGCTGGACTGGTGGGGATCAGATACCATGGCCCAGCGGTGGCTGGGAGAAGCCTCAACGATGCTGAACATTTGTTTGTTTTCCTGCCCTCCTGGGAGCAAGAGTGCATGATTATGATCTCGCGCTCGTGAGCAGAGAAGCCCACAGAACGCCACTCCAGCGTGGACGGCTCGACTGCCCCTTGCCACTGCGGAGCAGGAGGGCCAGGAAAGACGGCGGAGAACACAAAGTGGAGCCGTGAGGGAGGAGGACGATGCGAAACATGTACAGTCGAGGCGTTGACCTAAGGAACCCTAAATAAGGAACGAGGCCCCTATTTTCCATAAGTTGAACTCCGATTGCGTATCGAAAACCTAAGAAAATCCTAGGCAAGCTGCGAAAAAAATGAGGAGCACGGAGCCCCTCCCCAACGAGAAGGGTACCTTCTTCGGGGCCCCGACTGCACATCTGCAGGATCGGCGTGCGCGCACACTTCTCGGCGCCCGAGGCCGTGGAGGGCCCAGAACGGAGCAGAACCGCCGACGACGCCCGCGAGGGAGGCCCGGAGGCGGGCGACGGGCGTCGCCTCAGCCCGATGGCCCCTCGAAAGAACGAGAGGGGCCCTGGGACGCACAAATCAATACGGTCGGGGCGTTGACCTAAGGAACCCTAAATAAGGAACGAGGCCCCTTTTCTCCACACATGGAACTCCGATGTCCCATGGAAAGCCCAGGGAAAACCCAAGGCAAACTGCGAAACAACTAAGGAGCACGGAGCCCCTCCCCAACGAAAAGGGTTCCTTCGTCAGGGCCCCGACTGTACACACAAATAAAAGGATTCCCCATATTTCCTATATTTTCTGGGTTTCTGTATTCCCCCCCGACTTCCCATATTTTCGCACATGTTCTGGGAGTCGGCGAATAATCCCACCAGCCCTTTGGGCGTGAGTGGTTTAGCGAGCTCTCTCTGTCCTCAACCCCCCTTCTTCCCCTTCAGGGAGGGGTTTACCCCTCCCCCTACCCCCTCCCCCTGGGCCTGGAGAGGGGGGGCCGCGGGTCGTCAGGGGGGTCAATTTCGACTCCTGGGAGGGCTAAAAAACGACACCCCTCACGAGGATTCTGGCCCCGACGGGGGGGGGCAGAAAAAATGCTCTCCTCTTCTTTGAAGCCAAAATCATTGATTTTACCACGGATTCGGCCCCATGTTGGCCTTCTGAGGGGGCAGCGCTCCTCTTCCTTCATAGCAAAATCATTGATTTTACGAAGGTTTTGGGCTCATGTTCTCCTTCTCAGGGGGCAGCGCTCATTTGCGCTTCTGAGGAGGTCGCAAGAGGCCCCAAGATGGCCCCAAGAGGCCCCCAGGAGCCTCCCAAGAGGCCTCCAAGAGGCCCTCCAGAGTCCCCCAAGAGGCCCCAAGAGGCCTCCAAGAGGCCCCCAAGAGGCCCCCAAGAGGCCCCAAGAGGCCCCAAGAGGCCCCCAAGAGGCCCCCAAGAGGCCCCCAAGAGGCCCCCAAGAGGCCCCAAGAGCCTCCAAGAGGCCCCCAAGAGGCCCCACGAGGAGCCCGAACGACTCACACCAGGACGAGGGGCCCGAACGACTCACACCACGAAGAGCCCGAACGACTCACACCAGCTTCACACCACGAGGAGCCCGAACGACTCACACCACGACCCGAACGACTCACACCACGACGAGGGCCCCGAACGACTCACACCACGAGGAGCCCGAACGAGTCACACCAGGAGGAGGGGCCCGAACGACTCACACCAGGACGAGGGGCCCGAACAACTCACACCACGAGAAGCCCGAACGACTCACACCAGGACGAAGAGCCCGAACGACTCACACCACGAAGAGCCCGAACGACTCACACCAGGAAGAAGGGCCCGAACGACTCACACCAGGACGAGAAACCCCAAACGACTCAAACCACGAGGAGCGCTTTCTCTCCCTCCTCCTCCGCCTCGTCCTTCTCCCGCTCCCCCCACAAGGAGGATGTACAAGGAGGCGGGAGGAAGGAGGAACAGGGGAGATATGCGGGGGCAGGCGGAAACACGCCTGAAAAACACGACTGTCGGCATGCTTCGCAAGAGTTGCTGTTTTGAGATGGGCTGGTGGGGATACGCGAAGCGTACAGAATTGTGTCTGTGTGTTTCTTCCCCTCCTGAGCGACGCGTGAACATCAAGCGGCTTGAACTGCGGCAGCTCTTGCTCCTGGGGGCCAGCGCCGCCTCGGAGCCCGCGGACCACTTCGGAACGGCCCGAATTGATTCCCCAAACCATGGTTGCACTTAGGGTTTCTTCCTATTTTACATCAACGAGCTGGGCCAAGGTGTCGGTCCAGCCGGCTGAATGTCGCCGCCTGTCGCTGCCTGCGATGGTACGAAGTCACCGTTAGGATGGACGAATGTGGAGAATCGTGGACGAAAATGATCGACCCACGAAACCGGAAAGGAATATGGAAATGTAAAGCATGGCAACGCTTCAAAGACACCTGATTGGGCGACGGGCAAATTGAATGCTGAATGTGTCGATCTTGATGTACCGTGCCGAGGGCTGTGCTGTGCTGCGCCGTGCTGAGTTGCAGCGTGCCATGCCGCGAGTGTGCTCTATAGCGTTGTGGATCGAGTCCTCCTTTGCATCCGACTCCTGGCCAAATTGATCTGGATCTTAAGCTCGAGCTGCCTGAGCACGTAGTAGTTACCCAGAGCTAATTGACAGGGGGGCATGCCAGGAGGACGCGCCGCAGAACGCCCCAAGGGAACCGCCAGGCGACGTGCCAGGGGACGTGCCATGGGGACGCATCGCGGGACGCACCAAGGGGACGCGCTACGGAACGTGCCAGATGGACGTGCCACGTGACGTGCCACGGGACGCGCCGCGCGAGGTGCCAGGGGGACTCGCCACAGGACTCGCCACGGGACGCGCCACGGAACGTGCCAAGGAACGTGCAAGGTTGCAATGCTGAGAGTACCGATCTTGATGTACCGTGCCGAGGGCTGCGCTGTGCCTGGGCGACCTGGACACGTGAAATCAAACGTCTCGCTCAATACATTCTCAACACATCCTCATGCTAGACACCCGCCCGGGCAACCTGGACACGTGCAAACAAGCGTCTCGACCGTGATTTCCTCAACACATCCTCATGCTGGACAGCCGCCTGGGCAACCTGGACACGTGCAAACAAGCGTCTCGATCAAGATTTCCTCAACAAATCCTCACGCTAGACAGCTGCCTGGGCAACCTGGACGCGTGAAACCAAGCGTCTCGCTCGAGACATCCTCCAGACCTGGGCACGTGAAAACAAGCATTTCACTCGAGAAATCCTCAAGCGGCGACGCAACGCATCCTTGCACTCTCCGCACAAGGAAAATAGATCGAACATGAGATAACCCGCGCGAGCGGCGTCGGCGGCGATCCATATTGCATTCGTGGCCTGCGCTCGCCTACAAGACTTCGTAATACCCGAGATCTTCGAGGAGCCCAGCTGCTGCATGACGACATCCCAGCATAGCGTGTGCCCTGCCCCATAGCGTGTACAAAACTGCCAAAATGGCCCCCTAAAGCGTCCAAGATTGCCCAAGAGGGCCTCCAGGAAGGCCCAGCGCGACTCCAGGGGGGGCGGGAAGGGCGGGGGGCAGGTGCACGCCATACGAGCCCCCGCTCCCGCCCAGGACGGCCCAGGGGAGCTCCAAGGAGGCCCAGAAGGCTGCCCAGACAGCCCTGGATGGCCCCGACTGCTGCCCAAAACAGGCCGAAATGGCTCCCAAAGCGCAGAAGATTGCCCACGAGGGCCCCGGCTCCAGCAGGGGGGGAGGACGGCTGAGGGCCTCAAGAGGTGACGCCAAGAGGGCCCCGAAGATGTGCAAGACAGCCCAGGGTGGGTCCACGAGCAGCCCAGAACGGCCCAGGAGGGCCTCGAGCACCCCAAAGAATGACCCAACAGGCTTCCAAAGAGGCCCAGGACGGCCCAAGGGAGCTCCAAGGCCCAGGACGGCCCGAGGGGGCCCCAAAAGCCGCCCAGACAATCCAGGATGGCCCCGACTGCTGCCCAAAACTGCCAAAATGGCCCCCTAAAGCGTCCAAGATTGCCCAAGAGGGCCTCCAGGAAGGCCCAGCG